CAGGGAACGTCATCTCATCAAGCTGTGCCTTTGTGTTGCGCAACAAGGTTTCAATGGCGTCCGTATCCTCCTTCTTGGCTGTCGCCTCATCTGCAGGCTGATCACGAGCGACGATGCCTGTTACTGAGCTCTGAAGTTCGTGAAGTCCGAGGAGGACTTCATCGAGGTGCTCTTTTTTAAGCATGTCTTCAGGAGCCTCCGCAGCGCGGGGAGCTGACTCAATTGCCTCGACCTTGACTTGAAGTTGGGTGATAAGGGCCTTCAGACCTTCAATATCGTTGCTGCTGGTTGAATCAACGGGAGGAGTGTCACTTGCGAGCATCAGTTCACCTCCACGAGTCGTCTCAACTTCTTCGCTCTGTTTCTGAGCTTGCCTCAGCATCTCAACATCTGCCTTCAGACTGCCAAGCCCTGATTTCAGCTCATCCAGCAGCTCCGAATAGTCGAACTCCACGTTCTTATCCATGAGTTTTGCGAGGTCTTCCCGAATGGTACCAACGCCATCGTTCAGGGCTTCAATGACTTCACCATTAGTGAAGTTGTCGCTCTCATCAGCCTCTTTGGGCTGGCTTTGCTCGCCCTTGAAGCTGTCAAATCTCTCATGCAGCGCAGCAATAATCTCATCCTTGTCGGTCTTGGGCTCCGTAGGTTCCGCACGGACCAAGGTCATGTTCATTGAGTGACGGAGTTCCTCGAATTCTTGTTTGATAATGTTCGTAATGTCGTCGACATTCGTAGACTTGTGCTGCTCAGACATCTCCCGGATTGCTCCAAGGATTGCATCACTGTCTATGCCCTTGTGTTGCTCGGATATATCGCGTACAACAGCAAGCACATCATCATTGTTGGCTGCCTTGTGTTGCTCTGACATTTCACGAATTGCTGCAAGAATCTCCTCGGTGTTTGTGCTGTTCTGCTTTTCGGAGATTTCATGGATGGCAGCAAGAATTTCCTCGCTGTTCGTACCGCTTTGCTTCTCCGACATCTCACGGATGGCAGAAAGAATCTCATCACTGTTCGTGTTGTTCTGCTTCTCGGAGATTTCACGGAGGGCAGTAAGAACTTCATCGCTCGGCGCGTCGGGTTTCTGTTCGAACGCTGCCGCAACTGCGGCAAGGATTGCATCATTGTTGGCAGACTTGTGCTCCTCCAACTGTTCACGAAGAGCTGCAAGGATATCCTCTCCAGGCGTACCCGCCTGCTTCTCCGACAGCTCGCGGATAGCCGCAAGAACATCATCGTTTTGCGAAGACTTTTGCTGTTCGGAGATGTCGCGGATTGCGTCGAGAATTTCGTCCTTTTCATTCGGTATGTTGTTGCGAATCAACAAGGAGCTCATGGTCTGTCGCAGATGCTCGAATTCCTTCTCCATAGCATCAAGAAGTTCTGGAGTATCCGGGTTACCGCGAGGCGCATTAGACATGGCGGTCTCAGTGATCGTCTTCTCCATGTCAGCCTGCAAAAGGCGGAACCCTTCCTTGACAGTATCCATGATCTCATGCTTCCCGGAAGCTTCAGCTGCAGTTGAGGCGTAGCCTTCCACTTCCTGTCGCACGACAGCAATGCCATCTTTGATAGCGTTAAGCAGCTGCTCGGAGCTCTCTTCGCTGGCAGTGAAATGTTGGCCCATTTCTCCTTTTATGCCGTCCAGCTGCTCCTGAACACGTTCCAGCATCTGCTCGCCGACGCTTTGGTTCGCCTCATTGGCCTCCGCCAGACCAGCCGCGATAGCCTCCATAAGATCATCCCTGTTGAGTTCAATCTCTCTCGTGATTGAGTTCTGGCTTTCCATGCCTTCTGCGATGGCGTGCAGAATCTCGTCACGGGACACAGTAGGTTGAACATTGGTGCTGACGACCGACTGCTGTGCAATGAATGCTTCATTTATTACATTGGCAACGTCATCCTTCGTGATGTGAGGGTGTTCGATGGCTTTGGTCGCTCCGAAATGCGCTTCTAGTCCTTCCGAGAGAGCACTCAAAATCTCATCACGGCCCAGCCCCGAGTCCAGGGTGTCTCTTGTTAGAGCACTTTGGGACGTGACGGAGTGTGTGACGGCTTCTAGGATCTCATCGCGCATGCCATCAAGGTGTTCGCGCTCCACGCCCCGAGGTGCAGGAAGTTCGAAACCGGCAAGGCATTCGTGAATTGTTTGTACGATCTCTTCTTTCGTAATGCTGGGTGGTTGTGCGAAGCTCTGCATTCCAGCCTGGACAGCCGCCAAGACTTGGTCGTAAGTAACGGCATCCTCGTGCTGCGGCCTATACTCTTTAAGCCCTTCTGACAAGCACTCCAGGATCTCGTCTCGTTCCAAGCCGAAATTTTGCAACTCGATCTCAGGCTTATATGTCTCCCAGGCTTCCCTAACGGTCTCTAGGATCTCTTCCTTTTCCATATTGACACCGTGGGGCTCGGCACGGAATTGAGACAAGTCAAGCTCATCTAGAGCCCTCTTGACAACAGAGTAGAGTTCGTTGCCATTCATGGCGGCTCTGAATTCCGAGATGGATGAAGAGTGGTGTCTACTCTCATCCATAATCGAGGCGAGTTGGTCTCTAAGCTCGTGCAGGCTATTTTCGACGATACCAGCCAGCTCTTCATGAGTGGGCCGATCCGGCCTATCTTCTATGGCGCGGGAAGTCCCAACTCCTTCGATTTGGCGAGCCAGATTCCTTCCCATTCCTAGAACCTCTCCTCGTAGTTCTCGTACAAGAGCTTTGACCTCGTTCGTCATGCCACCTCCTTCAATGACACTAGTCTTTACTCTTTTCATGATCGCTAGCATCTCGTCTGCCATTTCGGGATCGGCGGGCACCAAAGAGCGTTCCGCGGGCCGGACGTTGTGGGTCTCTATATCGGGAGAGTATGCATGTTCGTCGTCCAGCGACCTTGTTCCGGAACCATCTGCCTCTCCCTGCGGAGGGACGCTGTCGGCGCCGGCCCAAGCCTGAGAGCGTACCAAAGCCTTGTTTCCCGGGTCGTCCTTCACATGCTCGAGAATCTCCTCAAGCATCCTCGTAATTGTCTCGTCATTTGATACTTCGTGGGTTTTGGAGACAGGCCTGGCTTTGATCTCCTCAACCATTTCTATAAGCTTGTCTTGACCTTCCTTCGTCCCCATCTCCCGGAGGACCTTCTCTAGTAATGCGATGCTGGCGGAACCATCCGAGATAGGCGTAGGAGATCCACACAATTCGCGCTCCATTGCTGCGGCAAATGGATTAGGGCTTGACATTCGTGGTGCTGCATAGCTCTTCTTCGAGCTCGGAGAACTATCCGATTCCCTGTTGTTAATACCGTTTTCAGAACCCAGGAGAGTACTGAAGTCCCACCTTGTGGCAGCATCAGAATCAAGGAACTTTGCGGCTAGGCTGGAGGACAAGTCACGAAGGCTCTTGCGAATATCCTCATCTCGGGCATTAGTCGCAGCTTTGAGACTGACCAGGTCCGTGGCATTGTCTTTACTTCGTCGGCTTAGTTGAGCCATTTCGCGCTGAAGGTTACTCGCAATATCTGTCAGGCTGAGTATCTGGGTAGATAACGATTCGAAGGTGTGGTTGTCGGGGCGCCTAGGCCCAATAAACGGGTCTGCATCGTTACTTTTTGGTTTCGGTGGCTCGACGCTCTCGGTAGGCAGCTGCATGTTCTGCAAAGCTAACATCGTCGCCGACGGAGGTGTGCTTTCGCCTAGGATTGGCCTCGAAAGGTATCGGTTTGAAATCTGCAAGTTAGGCAGCTCTTGTTCGTTGTCACGCGAGTCCGCTGAGCCAGGAGCTTTCACGGGCGTTAATTCATGCTGCTTAGGGCTCTGATCAAAAGTCGACGCGCGAAGAGGCCGTTCTGGTGACCGGCTCTCGAGATAGTTTAGGAATTCATTGCGAGCATCTGTATTCTGTAGCGACTGCATGCGCCTGTGAAATTGGCCCTTGATGAGGGACTTCTCTGGGGACTTCGGCGGCATGGGGTTGGTCGTATACGGGCTCGGTGCGTTTTCGCGCATCTTTTCTTGGAAATTCGCCGCCACGGCTTGGATGCCTGGGGAGACATTTCCTCTTGTAACAGGGCTGGTAGCACTGGGGTTCATAGGGAGCGGAGGGGGTGCCCGTTCGGGATCCGAACTGTCCCACCTTCGTTTCCACAGTCCACGGTCAGTCTGATGCGATTCATAGTTATAGCCCAAGGGAGGGGCTCAAAGATAGAGTTTGCACATACATGGGCACCGATTGATGTCTAACGACCAGTTCCCGGTCGCGGGACCCATCTCGTGTATGCGTAGGCATCATGTAACTTAATCGTCGTTAAAGCGAAAAAAACAGGGTATGTCTGTCGATGTTGGATATAAAGCAAGTCGATCGAGGGATATCAGGAATGTGCGAGAGGAATGTTCGTCAAAATCAAAGCAATCGAGGTCGTAAAGGGCATATCAAATCGTCAAAACAAAAACTAAAAAGACGCAGGAGGGGGGGGAATTGAAAGACAATAGGCGACAAAAAACAGGAACAGGATATAGAATGTAGAAGGAAGATGATGATACAAATGCGCTTGCTATGAGAGATGAGGGGAAACAAGGACGACGAAACACAATGCGACGAGACGGTTGCAAGAGACCAAGGAACACGAGCAGGCTCCAGAGGTTGAACAGTCAATATAAGAGACAATCAAACATCCAAGTGGAGTTCCTGGCTGAAAGGAACGGTAGCTCATGGGGCATCAACGGAAGCCCGATCCAATGTGCGGCGTACACATCGAAGCTCCCGTCATAGCAACCGACGGTCCTTTGGTTGTCCGGTAAACAAAGAGCCAAGACCCGATCGAGGCGGTGAGTTTGTCCGACCTCCCCGACATCTCGGGCACTAGTCCGTTTGGAGAAACATTCCCAACTCGGCTAGTAGCCTTCGGTCGGTAAGGTGACCAATGAGATTTTGGCGCACAAAGCCCTGAGCCCTCTTCGCTCAGAAAAATAGAACGTCCAACGCGGAGAACCTCACTTACTCGACCGAAGCACATCGACAACCACCCCATCGACCTCCGCTCACCGGGACTTTCACAATGAAGTGTTAGTGAAATGCTGCATCACCTCGACTCTTGATTTTTCTCGTCTTCGAATCCAAACTGACAGGATGTTACGATAGTCATGAAAGTGGGCCGTGTGGCCATCATCACCCGTGGCCGTTACGCCGGTAAGAAGGTACGACAACCGATTTCTCCATTTTATGGCGAGGACATACATATATATATACCCCGAGGTGGAATGGATTGGAAGGAATGATTTTTGCCGACTTGGAAGAAGAAATGAATCTTCGATTTGCATGGGAATGAAATCATCGAGCGGAAAATGCGATTCACGGGCGAACTACCATGGGGGAATATAACGAACGGAATGTGCAAGGATAGATGTGCTGACGAGGGTTTCTTTCGCGAATGACAGGTCGTCATTGTCCAGCCTAACGACACTGGCTCCAAGGCGCACCCCTTCCCTTACGCCATCGTCGCCGGTATCGAGCGCTACCCCCTCAAGGTCACCCGTCGCATGGGTAAGAAGACCGTCGAGAAGCGCAGCCGCATCAAGCCCTTCATCAAGGTCGTCAACTACAACCACTTGATGCCCACTCGCTACACTCTCGAGCTCGAGGGTCTTAAGGGTGCCGTCTCCACCGAGACCTTCAAGGAGGTTTCCACCCGCGAGGACGCCAAGAAGAACGTCAAGAAGGCCCTTGAGGACCGCTACACCAGCGGCAAGAACCGTTGGTTCTTCACTCCTCTGCGTACGTCTTACTCTTATTACCTTTTTCAGCTACGTTGGCTGGGTTAGGTTCGCAAATGCTGACGGCTCTACAGGTTTCTAAACGGGGTAATTTGGGGCGTTTTGTCGTTTGAGCGCGCAGGGTCTTAGATGAGGCAAAGGGAAAATGAAAAAGCATCGAAGACGTCCGGTTCAAAAGCATGGGATCACGTGAAGTATACCATAGCACGAGAGAAGAATGGGAATGTATCGATGTACAGGTCCAGGACTTGACCAATTTTTCTTATCATGAGGGAGGCCACTGAGATCTGGCGTCCGTCTCGAAATGAAATGGAAAATATGAACAAATTCAACTTTTTTTTTGTGTTTCGGAATTTTGGGCTTCCCAGGAGTTTCTTCCTCTTTACAACAACGCATGGCACAACCTAGCGCAAACAAAGAACGCATCCCGTACTACAGCAGCCGGTCAGGTCGGAAAAGATTACCAAGTCCGAAGTCACCACGATTCGCTCGATCATTTTCAATCGAAAGCATACTTATCACCTTGGGACGAAAGAATGCTATCGACTCATCCGACATCACGGGCCCTTCCAAGTTCCCCCTGTTTGCCTTGTCTTACGAGGAAAGGAAGGGGAGCATGTGTGTGTCGGGTCCGATCTAGATTTGGAAACCTACTTCCGTTCAACCTACCGAGCTTGTACTCCCATCCCCGCACGGCCGATATTCCCCGTACATGAAATCCCAGCCTATCCCACATGTTGGGGTAAAAGCGGAGTTCCCTGGAGAAAGCATATATCCCCACCTGTAGGAAACGTAGGCCAGGCCTATATTAGGGGATTATGTCATGTTTTGTAGATACGGTGCTCGTCCTTTGGTTCCGTCTAACGTGCGTAGTGGTGGATTAGTGCAAGGAGGCCATGTTCACTAGTGAATGTAGCACGGATGATGTTGCCCCTCCGTCTAAATGATGGTAGCACCGGCTTCTGCGCCTGAACCAAACAAGCTAGGTACCAGAAAGGTAGGTGTAGCGCCAACTGGTGCTGGCAAGGTACTACATGGGGGTCCCATGTAGCCGTGGAAATGAGGAGGTGCAATTAGAGGTTGCGATCTGTGCACGTCGTTCCTTGCCCGAGAGAGGGAGTAGCCGTCTAGGCGTGCGACAATCCCTCAGTTTCGGTTGTCGATAATGACCGGTATTTACAATCCTGGCAGCAAGGCAACAACTAGGATGGTTATAGCTACCGATGGGAATCCTTCAGGACATGTGAAAAGCCATTGGTTATTGTAATCTACGCGGCCGGCGATTGCAGCAAGCAAGCCACCAGGAGTCGGCCGTCCAGGTTGCTGGCGCCTTCTATCTCATTCTGCTTCCGATCGCCGGGTAGAGAAACTGTGGTGTTGAGGGGGGAGGACCTTACGTCCAAACCGGGCGTCAATGCTAAATCAGACTTAAACACAAGGACACTGCGTTATGCTTCAGTATGTCAAGGTTGATCGGGATCGAGGTTTATGAATTGACCTCCGGGAAGGCTAGCGTCGACCGACATGCAGCAGCAAGACAAACCGACAGCATTGGAAAGTCCAGCACGGTACGACCATTGTCGCATGAACAGAAGTACGACACACATGGTCAGCACTAGAAGAGACTGGCCTAGAGGCGAGCCCGTGGAAGATACTACAATGGGGACACATTCTGTCGAAGCTTGCTCAGATCTGGACAGCACTTGCAGGACTGCCACCACACGGTTGGCGTTGGTAGCGCCCAAGAGGACGAGTGGATCAAGCTATACCCCTCTCTATTCCAGAATAATATACGGAGCAGTCTGGATACTAAGATGTCTTCCACGGAGAAAGGTGATGGTCCAAAGGGTCAAAGGGTCAAAGACGCCCCCAACCCCGGACCTGAGACGAGGTCCAGGCGCAAAGATGATGATGCTTGCACTTCCCGCAGGAGATCAACGAGAGCGGTTACCCATCTGGTACAAAAGGAAAAGCAGGGGAAAAGCAGTAGTCCGTTTCCCGGATGCACTGATCCTCAACATTTACCCTTCAGCTGGTGCTTCTTGAGACTAGTACTCCGGATCGTTGGGGTGAGAATTTGGGGATCCGGTTTCCTTGTGACAGTCACCGTGAATAGGCGCCCTGATAAGCATGCAGCGCGAACCACGGCGGAGTCCCGTTCTTATCGGAACCATGAGGAATTCCAGTGAAGGGCCACTGTAAGGTTATCAATTCGTGTGTATGTTTCCAAATGAACACTTAAAGGATGGCATATAATCACGGCCGGTAAGATCAAGATGGATAGGGAAATGACATTAGGCATGAGGAGTGTGTTCGGGAATGAACTACTATGACAGTTGGTGTAGTAAGTAGCAGGAAGACCAGCCGACGGGCGATAGAAAACGAGGGCCGCCCGACCCGCAATCACATGCTATCAGCCCATCCCGCGATTCGAAGCCAGAAAACCTTCCAAGTCAATCAACTGTTCGCAACTTCCGGATTCCATCATCATCCACACTGCACTGCTGCAACTACTTTCAGCCTGTTGCCCCGAATCAAGGCCCTAATTTGCTGTTCCGATGCCTGTCGTTCATTTGTTTGACATGGCTCTTGCCACTCCGACAACGCAACCGTTACCGCCGTTATCGAGAGCAAAATCATGAATCGTTCGATTCTCATTCCGTTCCAGTCATGACTTACTCTATACATGACTAAGAAAGAGGAAGCCCATATAGGCACAAGTGCGGGTGGCTTGCTCGACACGGCCTTCCGAGAGGTCTGAACTCACTCTGTCCAGTTCTGAATCCTTATTTCATATCCTCACTGCTCCGCGATAGCAACTGGTACGTACTATGTTCAGTGCGAAGTCGGATGCGAGCTGTCGGGGGAGCGCGAGCGCACGGAAGGAGATGCACGATCCTGGTCAATCCAATCTTGGGTCGCGTTTTCTCCAGGCTCATCCCAGGTTCCAGGCCCTGCAGGTGAAATGATAATGACGATGAAGCCGCCGGATTGAGCACGCAACAACTAACTCCGTCCTACGACGGTCTAAAACCTCCTGGAACCAACGGCTGGCTTGCCCCTCCATTAAGCTCCAAGCGACTTGTTCACCAACGGGCCCGCTATCACATGCTGCCAACTCGTTCTCGCTTTCTTTTTCTATTTCTTACCCAGAAAAATAAATATAATATTTTTTTTTTCTAGTTTTTTTTATTATCTCATGATAAATCAGACTAACATAAACAAAGACAATAATTAAAAAACTAAAATAAAATTAGCACAGAAAAAAAAAAAAATTCAAACTAATCAAATCACTCAAGCCTCATAAATCCTAGCTATCGGATCGACTGATGGCGTGTTCGCTCTTCTCTCCTCTGAACCTACCTTAAATCTAACTACGGTTCACCTCTTTCCGGTCCATCCCAACTGCTCCCGTATTCCGTCTTTCCTTCTACTAATGTAAGTGATGTCCTTTCCCCTCTCACCCCTCCATTTCCTTTATTATCCTCAACATCCCCATCCTCCTCACTTTCCGCTTCTTGTCACCGCTTCTTCACGTCTGACCCTCCATAGCTCGTCTTGTCCACCAGGACCTATATAGCTTTGAGCATTCTATTGTCGGGTAAGGGTCTATCTTATCGTCCCGCTACTCTATACTTCCTTTCCTATACTAATGCTATTTTCATGTGATAGAAACTTATGCCTCACGCAGAAAACGGCATTATGGGCGAGAACTCTGTCAACGGAGAGGCTATCCACTCCCAATTCCTCGATGTAAGTTACCCTTATGCACGGTTGCCGATCGCTTCTAACATGCGCTAATCTCTATTTCCTATGGTAGCACCTGACATCCTATCCTGTTGTCTCCGACTCTATCACCGTCATCAAGACCAACAAGTACGCCGCGAAGTCTCTGGAATATGCCGACCAAGGCTACTCTCGCTTAGCCAAGCCGTTCCTCCCTTACTTCTCCAAGCCGTATGGCTTCGTTGCTCCGTATGTCGCGCGCGTAGATACTCTTGGAGACAAAGGCCTGAGCAAGGTTGATGAAACGTTCCCATTTATCAGAGATGACACAACCACGCTCAAGGGATCGATCAAAGACGGTGTCTCATTCCCAGTGCGATTCGTTTATGACCTAAAGGGTCATGTTTTTGACACTTACAGTTCTGAGTACAAGAAGTGTGGCGGGGACGGAATGGTTGCGAGCGGCAAGGCCGTCATCACCACCGGGTTGGTGCTGTCGCAGGAGTCGCTAGCCTATATCAGCTCCTTGCTTCAGGCCAAGAAAGCCCAAGTTAAGGATGCAGTCAACGAGAAGACTGACAACTAAACTCTCGCAATTGTTAAATCTCTATCTTTGTTTCAGCTGGTCTGTTGTCTTGCGATGAGGTAATTCTTTTGCGTGTTTGTCGTTTAGATCGTTTTGCTCTGGGAGGCCTGTCTCCTTTATTCGGTTTGTCTTGGACATAGGCGGTTCCGTTCAATTCTCCACGTGCTCATGCGGCTTGCATTGGATACATACACAGGCTCGGTAATGGTAGCTAGGGATTAATTGACTTTCATGAAATGTCCGTGCCAGAGGTCTGTGGTAGATCAGTAACAGAACAGCAAAAAAGTAATAGGACAAAAAAGATCTCCCCGACTGGGAGTCGAACCCAGGTCTCCCGCGCTTGTTCCTGAGAAGGATTGACAAGCGGAAATCATGACCGTTAGACCATCGAGGATCTTCGTTGTGAAAACCTTCCAACTTACACTATACCAGCAGGGGCTACTGTTTTATTAAAGTAGTAGAGAATTTGCGACAGCTCAAGTAGACAGACAGACATACATACATAGGTCGATTCTCACCAACCATTGCTTATACTTCTGACAAGCAAAATAAAGAGGACTGAGGCCTACCTACACGCACAAATACCACATAAAACATAGCAGCACAAATACCACATAAAACATAGCAATCCAACAACAACTCCCGATCAGATCAGACTTCGGAGGCCTCGTCAGGATAGATACCCAGTCCAATACATTTCACTCCCCATAACCCTCCCTCTACCAACCAACCCCTGTGCTATATACCCTACCAACAGCCACCATCCACATCCGACTACAACCGGAAATCCCAAAAGTAACTGCAACCCAGAACCAAACTACATACATGTCTACTCCGTACCTGGGTAGATAGATCGTAGCAACCCGTCCCACCCAAACAGCCCTAACCGGTCCGAAAGCAGCCACAACTCCCACTGCAGGCTCTAGCTTTATGTAGTCAAAATATTACCCGAATAGTATATCAAATCCTCGATGGTCTAACGGTCATGATTTCCGCTTGTCAATCCTTTTCAGGAACAAGCGCGGGAGACCTGGGTTCGACTCCCAGTCGGGGAGGATTCTTTTTTTGCGCTTGGTTTTTTGGCATTTTGGGGATGGGGTTGATGGTCAGGGGTGGGTAGTGTTGGCTATGTGGGATTCTAATGCCTGAACACGATGTCTTATTGGTTATGGTTGTTGCTGATATCTTCTGGGTGATAAGGGTGATATTTACATTGATTAGAATGTTAGGTTGTAGACAACTTCGTGATCAACGAAAAGTAGAAGAAATCCGTACATGGAAGAACGGATGACACCTCATTGGTTGTCGAATGTATCCTAATTTGGGGATGGTGATTGCTATTTTGACATGGACCATTCGGTGCCCTTGGGGGACGGTGCTGGTGTACTCAGCTACGGAAAAGGGCGATGAAAGCAAACACTTAGTGAATGTCTTGTGTGATTAGCCCGATGTTGTATCTGAGACCTCGTCCAAGGCGTGATGGAATAGTTCGGCCACAGGCAGCATTGTCTGGAGGTCTGTGTGCGGAAGGCTAACATTTCCATATCTCCTGCGAAGCACCGGGATTTCCTGGCTGGTAATCGCAATGGCTCTGAAGAACTGTTGGTAAGAGAATGTCCTGGTCACCTGCGATATGATCCCTTTGATGAACGAGTTTCGGGAATTCGCACATCAAGTGTTTCACCAACAGTTGTCCTTCCGTTGTCACGCAGAAGTGATCAGGCAAGGGTATTCTGTTTCACACCCACGGCCCCAAGCATTTCTTTGGAGCCAGCGACATACTTCTTGGGTACCTCCTAAGCAGTCTTCAATATCTCGTTCTCTGTACTGCAAAGCTGGAATGCTTCCTCTTCCTCGCCTTCCGCCCCAGGGTGGTTTTGTCCTTTAACGAGCCCACTTAGGCGTAAATGAAGGCCCTTCTTTGAATTATAAAGCCGGCCTCGGTGGAGCCATGCCCAGATATCAGCCAGCGGTCAAAGAGAACCCAACAATTACGGTGAGTCCGGCTTGTCCCTCCTAAGTAAAGGGTTGTTCTGGGCAAATCCAGGAGGTCAGGTCATCTTTGTTGGCTTACTATTCGTGATACTGCATTAAAACTCTGCGTAACCGCGAGGGTTTCCGATGTCCGCACTGCTTTTCCTGTTCTAATCATATGTTGGTGTAGTATTTCGCTACCAAATGATCTATCTCGACTTGAGACATCACCACCAGACTTGGGTTAGTTCTCGACATACGATGGACACGAATGCTAAGGGTAAATCCTTCTCTCGACCTTGGGTACGGAAATCGAAGGGGAAGTGCTCTCTATCATTTCAACCAGAACCAGAGTGAGTTACCGTCAGGATGATGCACCTCACAGATCTTTATCTCACTGCTGGAATTGTACTGACAACACCAGTATTGTTGTTGTTCATGACCTAGATGGAGTGGAGTTCGCTTGCGAGGAAGGTACCGGACAGCCGGTGTCCTGGTTTGAGGACATCCTCATATCATATTACCCAAATGCCCACATTCTCAGCTTTTGTCCATTAGCAGATACTATTGCCATGAGCCTACGGACGGGTTACGGTTTCCGGGCCCAGGCTTGGGAGTTGTTGAGCTTGATTCAGCGGGGAAGAGAGGACAAGCATGTGAACTCTCTACCTGAATTCCAGTGCATCCACGCGACATTAACAGTGCCAGCATACAGAATCAGAAATTAGGGTTTTCCTTTCCAGTTGGTATGTGGTAGTCGCTTACTTCATGACGGTTCTAGAAGCCTCGGTCATGCTGACTTCTAGTGTATCAAATACCCAACATTGTCGGACGCCCATAACGCCCGTGGTGCCCGCAACCTGATACTCTCCAGGTTTGCTCCTTTACATGATCTCAGCCTGATACCCTCTACATATAGCTCCCAGATATCGAAGGTCCTAGACTTAGCTGTCTTGGAGAGATAATGGTAACTCTGAACTACTATACGTCTATGGTGGTGAGATGACCGCAACTGCTCCGTTAAGGGGTCTACCAGTGGGAGAGGCCGTGGTGACAGTTTACTTATCGTTTGGGGAGGACCCATACTTCAAAAGAACAATGTCGACCGTCTTGGAAGTGCTGATATATAGGATTCTGGCTACTGTTGTACCTGCCTTTGATGTCATTCAGCCCATTCTAGACTCCTTCGGTCAGATGCCGAATCACACTCTCGAAGAGCTATGGATCCTTGTTAAATCCTTATGGTTGTGTCCTGACATCAAATCCGTGTTTTATGTGATTGAAGGAATTGATATGTGCGAAGACAAGATGACAGATCAACTAGAAGCACTTGTGGCGTTGACCCATGCCCGAAGTTTGTCCTGCAAAGTGCTTGCCACCAGCCAAACTCTCAACAATGCAACATCTGGAAAAGCGACTGTGATAAACCTAGATCCACTGATGTTGCAGCGCCAAAAATGTGGAGTATATTATCAGACTCACGATGCGAAACTTTGGGCCACTCACCTGGGGCTTCGCGGAGCTTGAGCACTTCCGGAATCAGCGACACCTTCGGGAATCAAGATGCGACTGCAAGTTTTATTACATGTTGTGAAACCAGTAACTACATACTCAATCGAGAACAGGTTTATACTTTTGCAAAAACCACTGCCAGAACTATATTCACAGATGCTGGGTCCGCTGAGTGCTCTAATGCCGTGGGTGCGCAGAGATTTGTCCTGGATGACGCTTAGCTTCCGGCCGCTTAACGTACAGGGACTAGCCATTGCTGTCGTGTGCCGGGACAGCCTACCAAATCAGGATATGCTTCGCCATCTACCTCTTGATCTCGAGGGTGATCTAACCCGTGCCTTGGGACCGCTGATTGATTTTCGCAACGGCCAGCCTATGTTTGCGAACGAATACGTCAGAGACTATATCAATAATGAGCTCACAGCAAAGCTGAACTCCAGTGGCGACTATAGCTGCGAAGTTTCAACGCACGCCGACTTGACTCGTAGCCGTCTCACATTTTTGGAACACTCTGGGGTAGCTCAAGCGGGCCCACGAGGAAGATGCCGTATTTTCTGGGAACAGAGCGCATTGGATTTCAGCCAGTACGCAGCACTATACTGGCCCTACCATTACCGCGCAGCAGACAACAGAAACGTACTTATCAGTGACATATTGGACGTTGTATCTCAGGAGAAATGTAGAAATCGTTGAGCAGAGTGGTGGCGGGCCGCGCACTGTCTCGACAGCAGAGACTGCTTTAAGCCCACTCCACTTACTCTTGCTGCGGAACATGGCCTATACGAAGTTGTTCATGATTTGATATCTTCCAGCGTAAGCAAGCCTGTTTCTTCACAAGAAATGACCGAGGCATTAGAGATAGCATTGCAATTCGGCCACCTGGACGTGGCCCGTCAGTTGCTACTCGAAACGAACCCATCAAACGAGTCATTTGTTCTTGCTAGTAGAGCAGGGGATACAGAGCTAGTCACTGATATACTTCAAAAGCTCGGTGCTCTGGCATGTACCTGCCTTGAGTCACTCCAAGCAGCAGTCATTCGTGGACATCTTCAGACAATTGATGTATTGCTGCAGCTGCTTCCAGACGTATCAGTAGCTCTCGAAGATAACCCATCCCTGTACCTCGACGCCATCGGGTCAGGGAAATCTGAGGTCTTGGGACGCTTACTCGATGTAGGACGTGCACAGTTACCGGTGGAAGTTGGGTCAAATTTACTTACTTCGCTTGGCTGCTCAAGCGGGCCATCTCGCGGTTATTCCGGAACTTATTCGTCGGATAGGAGACCCGCCATCGGCCAGTGTGATGGAGGAAGGTGCTAACAGTCGGAATCATACTAGCAGCCGTAGTGACGATGAGGAAGACAGAGAGGAGGCAGAGAACAGTAGCGATGGAGTCTCCAAGGAAGAAGAATTCAAAACTATGGGCTCGAGAACACTCAGCAGCTTTGAGGGGCTACGATGATGTGGTGAGGGAACTTCTGGAGGCGCACGTTGACATCAATTTCGGGAACCACAATGGGAGTACTCCACTACACCTGTCAGTTCAGCACGGGCATACACCTGTTGTAGGGACGCTGCTTGATGGCGGCGCAAATGCAAGTCTCTGCGACCTGGGGACGTTTTCCGATTCATATAGCCTCTGAAGGCGGGGATATGCTCATTTTCCGGGCCCTCCAAAAATTTGGAACATATGTGAGAGCGGCCGATGACCGAGATAGAACCCCATTGCATATTACTCCCAGACATGGATATGAAGAATTGGTCGAGCTTCTGCTCCGTCAAGGAGCCGACCCCAATTCTAGTGATGTTGAAGGCCACACCCCGTTAATTTGTGCAATACAGAGCGGAAACCCGCGAGTATTCAAGGCTTTGTTGAATTCCAGTGCTAGAATTACTGACGCAAGCCAAAGCCACTCTACTCTGATTCCAGAGGCGGTGCGTGCTGGACAAGATGGAGATGTTATTAGGTCATCGATGGAAGCCGGTTGTGACCTGCTGGGATAACGTCTATTGAGTAACTGGATGAGATGTGTGCAGCACTGCAGCAGGAAGTATGTATCGTCTCGCTAGTTCTCAATCCATTTGTGTTTTGGGTTGTTGGTCGGTGGTAGACAGGATATGATGATATGTCGTGTGGGAGCATCAAATATAAAGTCTTGATTAGAGATGTATCTCAGCCTTAATACTCTATTCTCTAGATTGGGACATGGTGATGGAAGGGAAGGGAGATAGACTCTGTAGGGTTATCAGGTTAGTACTCTCCATCTGCATGACATAGGATAACCGCAAAGAGTACCATGGGATATATGATCCAGTAAAGGCACCGTCTATGGCTTATCTAGCAAAGAGTCAACGCTTATATGAATGCTTCGGTCGATACTAAGAATACTAATACTTTGTTTGTGTCTGATCGAAGCTGTCCATATGCAGAAAATATCATGAGATCGAAGTAGTTCGCTTGCAATCCAAGCTAATTGCTGATGAGTAGGGATTGGAGGATGACAGAATCAGTAGGCACTTTATAGCACTAGTCAGTCTGATCGCATATTCTTTATTCTATATCTGATATACTTCAATGACTCAACGGTAGAACCACCATCGACAATAAATGTTAGTAAGTATATGATTAGAACCCAGAGAATAACAAAGTAAAATAGAGGGCCATATCAAGCTCATGCGAGCTTCTCTTGAGCCACCTCACATTCTATGCATGTTACTATATACGTCTTGCAAGCCGAAAAGGCCGGTTGAATATCGGCGCGCCGGCCAAGACTCTTCACAGCGGCACCACCACACTTTCAGTGCATTGTCTAATAGCTTTGTGTTCTCAAGTTTTATACTATATGTACTCTTCTCATCATGCTTCAAGTACATACGACCACAGGGTGTGGAAAACAGGGCTTCCCGTCCGCTCAGCCGTACTTAAGCCACACGCCGGGAGGTTAGTAGTTGGGTGGGTGACCACCAGCGAATCCCTTCTGTTGTATGTATTCTTCTTTTTTTTCTTTTTGTTGTTTTATACAACACAAGCAATTTTTATTCTAATCAGATTAAATTGATCGGTAGCCCTCCTTCACTGTCTCCTTCAGTCCAAGTGTCATTCATATACCCGTCTCCTAATACCAGAAATCTCACGAGTCCTCCCCCCCAGCTGCGCACAACACCAATGCCATGCCAATACCAGGTGCACCAATTTACGATCCAAGTCTTCGGTCTGCACTTCCAAGCAATCACAGAAAGACCAAGCCTATCATTGCTACTACAAGCCAACTCAGAAAGATAAATCCGTACTACCATCACGGTCTTGCCATAGCACACAAACTGCTTATTATGTATCGTTAAGCTATTCGCAATTCAAGTCATTAGCTCATATCCCTGACCCTAACCCTAACCCGACATGTCCAATCATCCAGTCCAAAAACCATGGGTATCCATAACGCCGTAAACCTAAACCAAAAGACGATACCGATATCGATTAAGTCTTGATGAACTTGGTACTCTTGCTGCTAGGGCCTCCCCAGCACCACTTCGCCAAGGTGATGAGCCAATTCATGTCCCGCTCCCGCATGTCCATAAGCGGGCAACTTCGCATGACAAGCTGGCCCTTGTCAAAGTATGCCTCAACAATCCGGAGGTAGTGCTCTCCAATGGCTGATAGCAGCAGGACCTGCAAGAGCGGTTAGCGTCTCACGCTTACCTGAATAACAGGAGTAGCTGAAGGCTTACAGGGGCAATAACATGAGGTCGGAGTGATGGGTCTCGCAAGCGGCCGTGCATGATCATAATCGCGGCGTCAACCTCGCTGCGGCAAAGCTCCTTGTTCTGTGGGTGGGCGAGCTCACTCCACATGAGAGCCACGATATGAGGAGCTTCAGTGTTGGTATCGTACTAAACTGATTCAACCTGCCACTGAGAGCCCAAAGTTACGCAGCCCAAGTCTTGAAAATTGAAATTTCCCCAACTGGGCGGCTAAATATTAATAAAGTTGAGTATTCAAAAAAATGAGGGGGGAAACTAACGAGGACATTCTAAAGCGAGGTGGGTGAGTGTCTGCTTTTGGCATCTCGCAACGACAGAGAAATCGGTTCAGACAAATGGCGAGGTGTTCTGCATTCTTGTATGGGCATCCGTCGAATTCCGGCCAATCTTCTGCATCCTCGGGATATTCATAGTCGGGTTCTTTGATGGGACACAGGTAAGAGGAGAAGTAATAGGGAGGATTACTGGCATCCAGTGACATTTCTGTGTGATTGATTTTGACCTGCTCAAGATGGGCTCGTAACAAACGATGATCAAAGTCGCCAAGCTGTCCATAAATATTATTCAGCTCCTGTCGGCGACGTTTCCTCTCAAGTACTAGTTGCTCATTCATACTGGGATTTCATTTGTGAAGGCGAGAAACAATGAAGCGCGTAGATGACGGATAGACGAGGACTTTTGCAAGATGACAAGTCGATCACGTGTCACGGTGAGGATTTATGTCTGGGGCATGAAGGGGTGATCAGCATTGCATGATGAAAGGATGAATATTCTACGTAAAACACCGTATTGGGTTCTGTGGATAGTAGTTTGCAGTGGCACATGTCTGTTGGGTACTATCTCGAAGCAATCCGTGATGAAGCACCACTTGGAGAATGCCGAAAGCAGCGCCAAGAGTGAGATGATTTCTTTGAAAAGTCTCAAGAAGCGCTTGTGGCATTATTCCTGACATAATGAGCTAGTCCCATGCCTGACAGGCTCCTCAACGGGCGGGTCAAGGTCGTCAAGAGAAGCTTTTCGGGCGTCTGCATGTTTGAGTTTCAAATGCGCCGTGGCTTGCCTGTGTCACTACAAGATTTGCCTTTTGACTTTATATCCGCCATATAATCATTGTTGGTTTATCGGGAGCGAAGCGAGGTTGCTCTCAAGGTCTATTTCCGTCCATCTCAGATACAGTCAGTTTCGGCACCCACGATGTATGTTCTTGTCCAATAACTCCGAACTCAAGTGAGATTGATGATTATGTGGAATCAAAATGATCGACTGCCTAGTATGTACAGCACGTGCCCCAGGGCAAGATACCGGATGGGGATGTCGGGGATCCTCGCTCCCGGCTTCGATACTATGTCCCTCATCACACTTTCCATCCACACCACCTTGCAAATCTCTGGAGGAGACACAGCCAACAACTCAACAGGTCAATGGCTCAGTTCATCAATTTGAATTTGTCAGGCCAGATTTCGATATATTATGGATCAAAAGCCGAAGTACCTGTCGACGGGCTCCTTCGTATTTGTCAACATCTCAACATCGATGCGCATTGCGCGACCAGCTTTTGTGGGTTTGCAATTCGCATCTTTGCTTATATCGGAGTACAATGCGTGAAGTCCATCATTAGCTTTGACTTGTTACTCTCTGGGGGTGATCACCAAGCTATCCATCAAACAAATCAGATTGTTTCACTGACAACCCAAGACACGAAGCAAGGTACTTCCTCCTTGACACGATTCACTGCAGACATCCTCCAGCGTCTTCCTCTATTCTTTGTATACTGACAGCCTAGATTAAGGCGACATAATAAGTTGAACACCTATCCGGCTGTGCCATTGAGGTCCTGCCGTTCGTGCAACACCCGAGCATGATGCCGAATATGCTGTCGTCCGACCAACACCACGTATTGATGTGAGATAGAACACTCAATTTTTCACCGACAGCAGGTTTTAGCTGCAGCTCACTGACTCATGGTGAAATGCCGCGTTCGGAAACCGAGCCGAAGTTGGACGAGGAACTCGCTGAGAGGTCCGATAGGATCATCCCGCCGATGATCCTTCAGCCCAGGCCCGTAACCCAATCTGGCCCCCGCCGTATGCCTGACCGACTATATCTCAAGCACCCCGCTCTCTTTTGGCCTCTGCTACGCGCAGATTACGCTCAGTGCTAGCAGAACATAATATCAACTATGGCGCTTGAGCAAAAGTCGGCCGCCTCCATCGCCGAGCAGCCCTGGCGCTCAACAGACTTGCAAGGCCCGTCTGACCTTAGCGCCGCGCATTCCACTGCCAGCTACGGCAGACCCCGATCGTTCGAGATCGTTGAAGCACCAGCTCAAATCTCCACCAACACCTTTCACGTCCGTGACACTACTCCCCATGATATATTTCCAGATGGTGGAACCAGGTCATGGGTTGTTGTTTTGGGGTCCTTTTTCCTACTGATGAGCAGTTACGGCATGATGAACTCTACTGGTGTCCTGCAGAGTTATTTTGCCAGTCACCAGCTGTCGGACTACACCAGTAGTGTCATCGGTTGGATTCCGGGTCTATTTGTCTTCTGTGGCCTGGGCTTGGGCGCCCAGGTTGGTCCGATGTTCGACAGGTACGGACCTACGGGCATTCTCATTGCCGGGACGGCCTGCTACGTCGCGGGCCTGCTATTGATGGCTGAATGCCAACTCTACTGGCAATTTATCTTGACCTTTGGTGTTCTCACTGGCATGGGCGCTGCTCTGTTGAGCACGGCTGCCATTTCTGCCGTTCCCCATTGGTTCGATCGCCGAGTTGGCTTGGCTATGGGCACGGCGATGGCCGGAGCGGGAGTTGGGGGAGTGGTATTCCCCTGGGTTCTCCGGGCAGGGTTTAAGGACCTTGGATACAAGTGGACCATGCGGCTGCTTGCATTGATTGTGGGGACCTTGTGTGCGATGGGAATTGCTTTTGTTCGTTCTCGTCTACCAAGAAGCCAGAGCAAGCCGAGCATCAACGTGCGTGCCTTCCAGGACGCCAGGTTTACCTGGTTGACCATGGGAACATTCAGTAAGCCCAAGACTCTCGGCCGCTCTAGGGTAATATTGGTTTGCTAATGACCTGTAGTCATGGAACTGGAAGTCTTTGGCTGCCTCGGTCTCTACCCGACATATGTTGTAATGCAGGGATTTGGCACTACCACCAGCATCATCCTTCTGTCTATTTTGAACGTGTAGGGGCCGCCATGATACCATAACTATAAAAATCCGATCAAATCTGATGCAATTGTCTAGGTGTTCTACCATTGGTCGCCTCGTTGCTGGTGGTGTCGCAGACAAGTATGGGCGAATCAACACGCAGATAGGACTGCTCGGCCTGGGTGCCGTAGCAGTCTTTGTCATCTGGCTACCCTTCGGAAGCAAGTTGGCGGGACTCTATATCTTCAGCTGTGTATATGGATTTGCTTCCGGTTCCTTTATTAGTCTGGCGCCAGCTTGCATCGGTCAAATTTCCAAAGCCAGCGAAGTGGGAGGGAGATTCGGGGTTTGCTATCTGACCGTCAGCTTTGCGTATGCCGCCCGAACTATTGTAGAGGAATGTGCTAATACATCTGAGCAGTACCCTAATCAGTATCCCCATTGGTGGTGAGATGATTGAGACGGTCGGAAAGCAGGCCATGGTGGCCTTTCTCGGTGCCGTTCTGGTCATCGCGATGGGCATGTTCTCCATGGCGCGGTGGTCGTGCCTTAATTACCGATGGCGGTGGCAAGCTAAAATCTGAATTCTGTTTGGTAAGAATCCGGTGCAACTAAGTGACTAATATGAGTCGGTCATCACTGAATTGGGCGATAAAAGTTTGATATTTGGTTTCAACTTTCGGTGTCCTTTCTATCTAATATCAAAAATCCGCTAGCTTTCGGGGTGTTCGAGGCAGTCCTGGCGCCACAGCAACCAGTGACACATAATTATTGGTTTCATCTCTTTCTGATCCCTGTGAAGCTAACTTTATTGGGCACATTTACCTCGTGTGTGTCATCGTGTTGGGGAAGTTTGGGGGAATACTTGGCTGTTGATGCCGCCGGAAACATCGAGTTAGGGCTGCGCGGGGATATCGTGGCCGTGATTGGTGCATTGGCCCAATTGAATTAATATCCCGCCGGAGCCAACCCGAGCAATACAAGCATAGGTTATTTCTTATCACTGGCATATGGTAGAGCATCTGCCGTCTATGTAGACTTCTGTAACTTACCGATAGGTATAGACATCCTGCTACGGCGTTTACGTTGAGGATGCTTGTAGACGCACGTACGTTGGTGGCCGTGTGTAGATATCTGGCAAGATCTCGATCCTTGTTATGCTTGTTCGGTCTATGCTTACCTGGTGATCATGCCTTTGACGGCCAATGGCTTGCATCTATTCTATCGGTGGTAGTATTGGTGTGCATATAGTGATCTGGATATTACCATGGTGTCGATGTCGCTGCAGACTGACAACGATGGTGGTGCCGTGAATATATATTGGCTCAACCGAAGATGCTGGTACTATTAGTACTAGCAAGCACCGACAACCACTCAGCGCACAGCTTCACCATCAAACCAGCATACAGATTCAGCCTCATTAGAGTATTCCAACTGTCATTTACACAATCACCCAAAACAATGATCCCAAACCAATAGCGATGTCAACGAAACTTCCCTTGAAGACAACATAAACCCCAATTGCTATTTTCAAACATAATGTCAAAAATAGGGAAACCAACATATCAAATCCTCGATGGTCTAACGGTCATGATTTCCGCTTGTCAATCCCCTTTCGGGAACAAGCGCGGGAGACCTGGGTTCGACTCCCAGTCGGGGAGATTTCTTTTTCATTCCATTTTTCTTTTTCTGTTTTTGTTATTGATAACCCCATTACCCCCTACCACCTATTGGACACAAAACATGTTCTTTCATATTCGTATTTGGCATTTCTGCACTATCTCGTCCATGGTACTGCTGCAAAGAGTAGACGTAACTAGTCGAACTAACGCTTCATAGAACAAAGAGAACCGTACACTGAACCCTCCAAAAAAGGCACTAATACTATGTGGCTAAAGTTATTCTTACACACTAAACAACATATCCTACCCTGTAGCCAATAACACACACAGTAATCAGCCAACAATCTCAATGAAAGCATGCATCAATTGCTGCGCAACCAACCTGTAGTATCATATCAAACCCTTATCTTACCCGCCAAGCACATCATACCCAAATAGGATAAATCACGCCCGCCGCGCCCCACCCGAATCTAGTCGCGCCGCAGCGCGTTCCACCGAACAAAGGGAAACCGTCGGCAACAATCAATACGCCGTTACTTGCCTGTCCTTACAGACAAACAACACAAAACAACACAAAAACAGACAGGAAGAGACCAGATGCTCATTGCCATGTAGGCTGTCAGTATAGCATTCATAGACAACTACAACACCCACATCCCCACCCAGACGAAGAAGAGAAAAAAGACCCGAAGCAATGGCACCTGCCCGTAAACGCCGCGCGGTATGTCACTCACTCATACCTATACACTGCACCAAGCTCAAATCTAACATGTAACTGCATGCAAAGGTCCCCGACTCACCCAGCGAAGAAGACGACGTTCCCACGCCCGCGACGCAACGACGCCGGGTAGCAGCGGCGCATAGCGGAGACGATGGCGACGACGACGACGACGATGCCGGTTCGGATTATGCGTACGATACGCGGGCGCCCAGTAGCACGGACGTGATGGTGAAGAAGATGGTGCGGTTAGCGCTAGCGAGCGAGTTCTCGCGTCTGCCGATCCGACGATCGGATATTAGTGTTAAGGTGCTTGGGGAGCAGGGGACGAGACAGTTCAAGACGGTGTTTGAGGAGGCGCAGAGGGTGTTGCAGGAGAAGTTTGGGATGGAGATGATGGAGTTGCCGGTTAAGGAGAAGGTTACGGTGCAGCAGAGGAGGGGTGAGTTTTTCTATCTATTTATATCTATTTCGTGTGAAGGTGTGTATTGGCTAACTGGTGGATGTGGATGTGGATGTGAACAGCTGCGCAAAAGGTTGAAAAGCCCTCATCTACGAACAAGTCCTGGATAGTGACGACTACGTTGCCGACGAAGTACCGGAAGCCTGAGATTTTGTTGCCTAGTAGGGCGCCCATGGAGAGTACATATACGGGGCTGTATAGTTTTATTATCGCGGTGATTGTGCTTAATGGGGGCACGATTCATGAGCAGAAGCTTGAGAGATATCTGAAGCGGACTAATACGGATGCGTGGACGCCTATTGATCGGACGGATCGGTTCTTGCAGCGGTTGTGTAAGGAGGGGTATTTGGTGCGCAATCGCGATGTGGATGGTGGAGAGGAGGTCATTGAGTATATCCTTGGGCCTAGGGGGAAGATTGAGGTGGGGACCAAGGGGGTTGCGAGGTTGGTTCGGGAGGTCTATGGACAGTCTGAGGGCAGTGAGAGGGATGATGAGTTTGAGATCCGGCTGGCGCGGAGTCTTGGGCTTAAGCAGCCGGAACCGCGTGCCCAGGAAGAGCAGGCTGAGGAGGGTGGTGGTGGTGGTGGTGGTGGTGGTGATGGAGAGGAGGACGGGAGGCAAAGGCAGAGGCGGGAGCAGCCTAGCCGCCGGGTTAATAGGCGGTTGCCTGAATCCGAGGATGAGGAGGAGAGTGAGGAGGAGGAGAGCGATGGTTGACCACCATGTCTTCCTTTTTGTTTATGTGATGACTTGTCGTTTGTTGTATTGTTTTCTAGCTAAATTCTGTCTGAATGATACCCGTTGATTATGGTTCTGACTTGCATAGATTGCTCACCTGGTATGGAAGAAGATCATAGTTGGTACCAGCCCAAAACACCACTGATGGTTTAACAAGAATTCATATTAGGCCCGCGGACTGGCCGCATGCATCCGAACAGCCATCTATGCTTCGAATACAGGAACAAAGTAATCATCAGTGGTATATCTATGATCAAAAAAGTCGCTATACACAGTTGTTGCCGTCTATTCGCTGTCACTGGCGCTGTCGTGAACCGATCCATTGTCCGCATCCTCCCTTAGCCCCTCCGCCATGATGTACTCTGCTTGCTGTAGCGTGGTCTTGATCTCCTGGTTATTGTAGACGAGATCAGCTGGTTTCTGACCGTGCTTGTTCCTGACACGCGGGTCACAACCGGCTTCGCACATCATCTTGATCATTGCCTCGCCTAGTTCGGCGTCCTTCTCGTTCGCATAGCGCACGGCGGTATGCAGCGGGGTATCTTTGTCCAGACGGGTGAGGGGGTCGCATTCGAAGTACTGAATATCGAAGAGGGCGTCCATGACGTCGTCTGCAACACAATGTCATTAGATCAGCATGTGTATAAGGCAGTGCTGATGCCAAGAGGATAGGGCTGTGGTCTCAATGAGGGGTGTTCACTTACAGCTACCGTACGTAGCACATATGTGAAGAGCGTGATTCCCCATCGAATCCGTCACACCGTTGAAGAATTCGGCCACTTCTTCATTCGACTTTCCCTCCATACGCTCCAGGACACCCTCTATCAAGTGAGGCTGATCTCGACGGCAGGCCTCTACGACTAGTTCACGGGGGGAAGCGCCCTATGCAACCAATGCTTGTTAGCAACGGAACCGGAGTGGGGGGTATTGCAGCACTCACTTCGTCAGCCATGGTTGGTTGTTCTTGAGAAATCACAAGTGTAGGGTACGACAAGTAGCTGTATCTTGAATAGTCAAGGGTGGTTGCGCGGAGGGGTCAAACAAATGCCGCAAGTATGGGGCCGGGTTAGCCGCGAAGGTGGTAAAGGAGGCGGTGTCGGAAACGAGGACTGGGGATCAGCAATGCCTCAAAAGCAACTGAAACAATCGACGGTAGTGTTTCAGGGTAGTGAGTCAGTAGCCCTGAGCGTTGAGGAAAGGCACAGAAAGCTTTGATCGATGTAGATTCCTTGCAGCTGCGTTTAAAAGTACTATCAGTGGGATACTGTCTCCTATTGTTGTTCCCCGCGGCCGAGCATACAGTACAGTAGTGGAATGGAATGCATGACTCCCGCCGCGGACAGCCATTCGGAAGGGAGGTTACTCCGGCCGGCCAGGCAGCCCCGCGTCCAATCGGCGGCGGTGAATCTCTCCGCCAACGAAATCGCCGGTCGATAAGAGCCTCAGCAGCTAGCCGGCGATTATCGTCCAGATCGCTGCGACCCTTACTTGCGCCGGACAGTGGCAGCTGCACCAGTCCCGTAACCGCCTTTATGAAGGCTATGCTATGCGAGAATTGTGCTACAAACTGACTGACTGATTGATCCCTTGATTGATTGACGGACTTTCACCCAGGAGGAAGCAAGCAAGCAAGCAATATTCACGATGCCGTTGACCTGTTAGTTTTCTCCTCTTGCAGCCCCTACATTTACAGTACTTGTTAACTAACCCTCACCTTTCTACTCCCCAGTCTGCCCTAACTGCAGCAATGCGCTCACGATCTCTCGTGCGGAACCGACCACAAGACATCCCCTAGGTGTCAACCGATTCGAATGCCGCACCTGCCCATACCAATATGCTCTGGACCAGAGCTGGTTTGAGAAGACCCCCATGAAGCAGAAGGAAGTGGAAGATGTCTTTGGAGGCAAGGAAGAATTCGCAAATGCGGATAGCGTGGCCAGTAAGTCACAAGCCTGGAGGGGCACTCTTCCCTACGGTTGTTGGAATAAACTTGGGGGCTTGGGGCTAATGTTGTGCTTTCTCTTCCCTTTTTTCCCTACCCGCAGCTCAATGCCCCGCAGAAGACTGTAATGGCGACCGCGCATACTTTTTCCAGCTGCAGATTCGGAGTGCAGACGAACCGATGACCACATTCCTAAAGGTGGGTGCGCACCAGCGGCTTATGCGGTTCTCATGCATCTGGCCTGACATGCCTTGCTGATTGCGGTTGACAGTGTACCACGTGTGGTGCCCGATGGAGAGAGAACTGAGGCTACTCCATTATTAGAGTTTGGACTATGGAGATATCCCTGGAGAACAATATGTGTTGTTCGAATAATAGAGGGGCGGGGGATAACGTAGAGAAAGAACGGGAATTGTAGGAAAGGGAAAAAAAAAAGGGAAGGCTGGTGCTACGGTGTATGATTAGGATGATGATCTGGGCCCCTGCGATTGTGATTATTCCCATTTGCGATGATT